AGCAGGCCATAAAAGATGACTACAATGCCTGCCTTACAGATAAATTAGGTGGCCTGGGGTCTAAACCACAACGCATCCCAGGGGTGTTTGTTTACAATCCTATCTAAATCTTTACATTTGCATTTATATTTTCAGCAAATATATTTAATCATACCAGGCATCCAGATTCTTACAGTGAGTGTAGAAGTGAAAGTCTTTGTCAAGGGCACTATAATGGACACTGGCTGTTCACTCAAGGATCTTTTTAAGGGGGTCTGAATACTTTCCGTACCCACTGTATGTAGTCTCTACATGTCAATAACACAAACTGTGGTGTCTCCTAAAACATTTGCACAATCAAGGGTTTCTGTATCATTATAACTGTTGTAGAAATGTTTTCTTCCTATGATCATAAGATGCTGGAGCCTTCACTCTAACATATATCATATACAATATTTCCTGTTCTGAATCATCAGAATATGAAGGCACTTGAAGTCCGGTCTCCACCAACTCTTATCTGTCACTGAGTCTCTGCTCTGACCCCTGAAGTCTGAGTAAGCAGCAAACTGTTCACTGACATCTGCACAAACTTCTCCTGCAATGCCAGAACATATAAACAGTCACTGTGCCATAACATTTGGTCTGACTGTATTTGGTGCATCTTTGGGTGAGAATGATTCAGTTCTGTTGGAAACTGGATTAAAATGCAATTTGCCACAAAATAGGAAGTGACTTTATTTAACATAAAATTTTTTGGCACCTGATAGCTGAAAATTAGCATTAAATTATTCTTATAATTGCACATTTCTTTAATGCTCTCCCTCGGGTGCTTACTGGGAGGTTACTGAATCTATTCCTTTATCAGTGTCTGAGAGGATGGGCCTGGATTTTCCACGACAGCAGTGAATCTTAAGAAAAAGAATACCTAAAGACAGTGCTGAAAAAATGGACACGGAACCAAATTTATAGACAGCAGAGTCCTGCTGTCTTTAAATTCCACTTGGTTCAGTAGACAGCAGAGTCCTGCTGTCTATAAATTGACTTGTTAATAATGGCTTGAATGTGTGTTAAACTTTGCTTTAGTAAAAATGCAAAAAGGAATTGTTTAATAGTTGCAGTTTATGTGAGTGCATTACATCACTATTTGACGGTCAACAACAGTCAAGCCCAATAGGCACTTCCTGGCTTAAAGAATTAAACAGCATAAACGTGACTGCAAAGCTCTGTTAACCTGTCCAGAATTGAGCTGTGCTAGTCTTTTTTCTATCAGTCCACTGGGTCCATAAACATCACAGCACACAGTCAAGAACTTGCACTTAAAAACGGAAGCGGGCATCGACTTCTAAAATGAACTGACACCACGAACATGGGGAAGACTTTAAACTTCTCCTGAGGCAGCTGCAAAGCCCCATGTGTCCTGACTGATCTTGGTACAATTTTACTGATCCATTAAAAGAAGACCCTCACAGCCTCCATCAGCTGATGTAAGTTAAAACCACTCTGCTGAGAGGACACTTGGCTGCTCCCCGCTAAACTTCAGCACCACATCAACCTGAGCAAACCCAGCCAGTGAAGACTGTCTATGACCTGGCTGAACCTAGAAACTTAACTCTTAAAAACTTCAATGTGTCAGAACTGCACCACCTTCCATGTCCAGACTTCTCTCTTGACCCTAAACCAGCCTCCACACACATTCCTCAGCTCACTAGCTCACAACACCACCGACACAAACACCCTCTGATCTTGTCAACTTCCGAATCTAAAGTTCATCCCATGCTGTTTATCACAATTTACACTCTTATCCTTATCACTATTGACACTGTTGCGCAGGGTTTGCTGATCTTTACAACTCCTAAGCACCTTCAGACTCTCACTATTGACATCTTGCAAACTCAGAATGAGTGTCTGAGCTCTGTATTATGTCAAGCGTTATCTTATTATATTCTCTTCAGCTCAGTGGTGTGACTCATTCTATAGATGGCTAGTGCATTGCTTCAGTCTCTCCACACTAGCTCAAAGAAAAAAGTGTTTATACAACCAGGGTCTATAGTTACAGTTATGACCATTATTCCTGACAGTTATGAAGCAGCGATTTGGGGCTGCAGACACCAGGACAGTTAACAAAAGAATTCAGGCAACCAAGTGGATATTGTTACAATATTTTGTTTCCATTCAAGACATCCTGATTCTAGAATTACACCTGTTTAGATTTGGTCTCTTTTTTCTGTGAGAATTGCTGCCACAGTGCCGGCTCTAACCCAAAGCTGCATGTTTTCTGAGCAGCAGTCACTCAGCCCTCCAGCTATGCCAGTTTAGTGACTCAGCACTCATCAAGTCAACCTCCTTCCTCTTCCTCCTCTTCTTTTCCTCCGTGCCCTCTCTCTCTGCATCCCTGACACTGGCCTGGCATGCTGACAGTAACAAACATAAAAATGGCACAGCTGAGGCCAATGACTCAGACTTTATGGGTTTTATCTCACAAAACCTTGGTTTGGATCACACCCCGCATAACATAGTACTGAGAATCAATTGTATCATGAATTTCATCGGCATAGGCTTCGCATGCATGATGTTTGTGGGGTCACTCATATACTATCTGCGTGCATACATTATGTGAACACAAAGGCTAACACATAAAAACCAAGCATAATAGCACAAAATTGCAAGATGTGAATGCATGGTGCTCTATACATGCGCAACAAAAATGTACGTGTACACACATATGTGATGTCACTATACATTGTTCAAAAGGCATTGAATAAGGCATAATCAAAGATATAGTGTGGTTGAAATGGTAGTTGGGCGACTGTTGTAGGTGTACATACAGTGCCTTGCGAAAGTATTCGGCCCCCTTGAACTTTGCGACCTTTTGCCACATTTCAGGCTTCAAACATAAAGATATAAAACTGTAATTTTTTGTGAAGAATCAACAACAAGTGGGACACAATCAGGAAGTGGAACGAAATTTATTGGATATGTCAAACTTTTTTAACAAATAAAAAAACTGAAAAATTGGGCATGCAAAATTATTCAGCCCCCTTAAGTTAATACTTTGTAGCGCCACCTTTTGCTGCGATTACAGCTGTAAGTCGCTTGGGGTATGTCTCTATCAGTTTTGCACATCGAGAGACGGAAATTTTTGCCCATTCCTCCTTGCAAAACAGCTCGAGCTCAGTGAGATTGGATGGAGAGCGTTTGTGAACAGCAGTTTTCAGTTCTTTCCACAGATTCTCGATTGGATTCAGGTCTGGACTTTGACTTGGCCATTCTAACACCTGGATATGTTTATTTGTGAACCATTCCATTGTAGATTTTGCTTTATGTTTTGGATCAGTGTCTTGTTGGAAGACAAATCTCCGTCCCAGTCTCAGGTCTTTTGCAGACTCCATCAGGTTTCCATCCAGAATGGTCCTGTATTTGGCTCCATCCATCTTCCCATCAATTTTAACCATCTTCCCTGTCCCTGCTGAAGAAAACCAGGCCCAAACCATGATGCTGCCACCACCATGTTTGACAGTGGGGATGGTGTGTTCAGGGTGATGAGCTGTGTTGCTTTTACGCCAAACATAACGTTTTGCATTGTTGCCAAAAAGTTCGATTTTGGTTTCATCTGACCAGAGCACCTTCTTCCACATGTTTGGTGTGTCTCCCAGGTGGCTTGTGGCAAACTTTAAACGACACTTTTTATGGATATCTTTAAGAAATGGCTTTCTTCTTGCCACTCTTCCATAAAGGCCAGATTTGTGCAGTATACGACTGATTGTTGTCCTATGGACAGAGTCTCCCACCTCAGCTGTAGATCTCTGCAGTTCATCCAGAGTGATCATGGGCCTCTTGGCTGCATCTCTGATCAGTCTTCTCCTTGTATGAGCTGAAAGTTTAGAGGGACGGCCAGGTCTTGGTAGATTTGCAGTGGTCTGATACTCCTTCCATTTCAATATTATCACTTGCACAGTGCTCCTTGGGATGTTTAAAGCTTGGGAAATCTTTTTGTATCCAAATCCGGCTTTAAACTTCTCCACAACAGTATCTCGGACCTGCCTGGTGTGTTCCTTGTTCTTCATGATGCTCTCTGCGCTTTAAACAGACCTCTGAGACTATCACAGTGCAGGTGCATTTATACGGAGACTTGATTACACACAGGTGGATTCTATTTATCATCATTAGTCATTTAGGTCAACATTGGATCATTCAGAGATCCTCACTGAACTTCTGGAGAGAGTTTGCTGCACTGAAAGTAAAGGGGCTGAATAATTTTGCACGCCCAATTATTCAGTTTTTTATTTGTTAAAAAAGTTTGAAATATCCAATAAATTTCGTTCCACTTCATGATTGTGTCCCACTTGTTGTTGATTCTTCACAAAAAATTACAGTTTTATATCTTTATGTTTGAAGCCTGAAATGTGGCAAAAGGTCGCAAAGTTCAAGGGGGCCGAATACTTTCGCAAGGCACTGTAAAAATTACTGCAGGTAGTGCAATGTAGGCCTAACTTCACAAAGGTTTATTCAGCTACTGTACAATGCTGACAAAATACTAAAGTACAGCTAAAGCTTATATATGTAAGGCTCCTGACAAAGGATCTCCCAGTTTCTCCTTTTCTCATTCACAGGAGTTTCACAGTGCTATTCATAAATATTTAAAAGAAGAGGATTATGCTAAGTGATTGTGAGCACAAAGAAAAAAATCCTTGACAAAATAGAGATTTTTAAACAGAATTAATTCAAATATCAAGATATTTTCTCCTATCTAAAGTTCATTATACATTGTAACTAATTTCTTGTCATCTTTGAAAAGATTTTATTCATGCATTCAGTTCTTTCAGTTCACTGTTGCATAAAATTACATAGCAACAAACAGCAGTTGCCAGAGTGACCCAATGTAACCACAAGCATCAAGATACACCCACAGCAGATGCTCTCTCTGCAAGCATGATTTACCTGGTGACTGACAAACAGTGATGCAGTTGCCATTGAAATTAAAAGAATTAAAGTTTGTGTAAATATAAAAACAAATTACTCACAGGTACGCAGCCTTGCCCTCCTCCATTTCTTTGCCCTTTCCGCTGGTAGCTGTTTTCTTGCTGCACAGTGTGCGTGTAATGCACATCAGTAGGCCGCAGTGACGCAGGAAGAAGCAGCTGACATCCACCAGCACAAGGAGGAGCAGCAGCACTCCCAGGCCCAGGCCCACTACCGCCCCCAGCCCCAGGCCGCTGAACAGGGATTCTGCTAAGGCAGCGAAACACACATGCAGGCACACAACAAGTAGAAAACACTGTTAGCAATTATGGTTCTTGCACTTGCTCCCAACAACTCAGAGATCAGGTTTGGAGCAGCATCACTGGAACTGGTCGGGATTCATCGCCTCACTTGAGGATATGTCTGCAGGTCGACTGCCTGCTAAGATGAGCCTCTGGCTGAAGGTCAACCTCTCGCAACAACCCCCCCCCGCTTACATTTATCTGTGCAGGGTGTTAGAGTATTGTAAATGTGAAACCAGATGACTAGAAACAAGTACATGAGCACACTCACCTCAAAAACTTTTACCATAGTTACTTTCAAAACCACAAAGGTCAGTGAATTCCTCTGAAGCCAGTTGGATAGTTTCCAACTTGCAGATAACCCCTAATCCACAACACTTTGACGCAATCCTCAGCGGAGAATGTTGTTTATCAGTGTGAATCCACCAAATCTCCTCAAAAACAAATCAATTTCAGCCATGTACAGTGAATAGAATAAAAGTGTCAAAGACATAAATGAGGAAAAAGCACTTTGAAACAGGTGTAATAGGTTGATTGATTTATAAAATAAAAAGCTATGCTGCTTGTATCTGTTTAAAAAAATTGATCCATGAGTATTTTATAAGCTTGAAATTAGACAATTAGACAGGTTTTCTTTTGTTTTTGTCCTCAGGCCCTGCATCTACACTGCCTAATGTGTCAACTGTCAACATTTCTGTTTCTATAGGTGCAGAAGTTAGTGTACATTTTCACTTATATTGCACTAAACTGCAGCTCAAAGTTGCAAACGTCAGCATTACCATACTGATGTTGCAGCCTCTGCGTCCACTGGGCACCTCTTATTTTGTAGCTTGCAGCACTAAATGGATTCACATGGGAAACAAAGTAGAAATTTTCAGCTAAAAGTTAAAAGACTTTCTCTCATAGCGGTCAGCGTTCTGCGCTCTAAAACACATCAAGCTCTCAGCACAGCTGGGAACAAGCAGCAAGGCCTGCTTTCAATTGAAAGTAATGAGAAAATGAAGGCAGTAGAGTAAAGAGAGGTTCCCAGTGGGCAGACCTGAATAGAGCTCTGCCCTTAAGTGATCCTGGGGTTGAGCAAACTGAACATCCACAGTAGGATCAGTGTTGACAGCTGGAGGTCAGACCTTACCAGGAGTAATCAGCAATGGAAGAATGAGAGTGAATGAACCTTGCTACTCAAGAATGTTCTCATATTAGTGTTCACTAGACTGTGAATTAAAAAGAGGATCAGACATTAATGTGAAGCACCCAGAGACAACCGACTGGTGAAGTCTGGCACCTTCAAGTTAAACAAAAATGCTGCCAGAGCTTTCACTTTACTGTCTCCTCTCTCCAGTAAAGTACATGTGAGCTGAACACAGTCTTTAGTTTGCCTTCCCAGAGTCCTACTTATATACTATTTATCTGGGATAAATAATTTGGGTGAATTTTACATGCATTTACTGTATATAGAGTGAAAATGTCTTTAAACCTTCAGGCTTGGCACTCCCTTGAATCATCACTAAATGCTGACAAACTAAATGGCTTGAAAGCACAAAGCTTCAGGATTATAACAAATTTTAAACACCCAGTAGTACTGAGATTACAGATGCTTATTTTGTAACAGAAGCACATACAAAACAAAAAAAACATGGGGGAAAAATACATTTTGGTCAAAATCTATGTGACAGAGGCCAAAATATCCTGAATTTCCTTTATATGGATACAGCTAATAATATGGAAGACCCTACAAGGGCCCCTTTGAGAGATGATGATAGTTTGCCAACATATGGTATAAATCAGTCCATTAGTATTTGGACATTGACACAAACACATTATTGTTCTCTATTGTTTTGGCTTTCCAATCCAGCACATGAGACTTTAAACTAAACAGTGACTATGAGGTTTAAGGCTGACTGAAAATGTTGCCCTCCATTGTAAGAATTATAATGCTAACCCTAGTCCCCTATTTTTTGTACAATGCAAGATGTCAACAATAAAGTACAATTTACAATTCCTGCATTGTCTCAGCTGAAAACATCCTCAAATCAAAGCTAAGAGTCAACATTTTACCCCACTGCCATTGTTTGATTGCATACACAGCGTGCACAGCTCTCTGAGCTGACACAACACAAATGTGTTGACCTCCAAATACCCCTGCACCACACTGGAAATTGTCACTGCGTGTCACGACCCAAATGACACTCGTGTCCATGACTTTGTTTTTGACTTAGAGCTGAGACTGCAGACAATGGAGATTGGCAGCAAGTCAAAGCACAGAGACAAAGAGAAAACCAGAGAGAACCTCGAGGCAACAAGAACTCTAATTAAAACACTTTGCGTTTTTGTGAATCTGGGGATATGGGATTTGAAACTTGCAGACTGGATCAATATTTTCTCACCACCACAGGGTGTTTTCTATCACCTTTTGAATGTTTAGCTGAGTTAATTTGGCTGCTAAATCCACCGATTCAGTGATGCAAACAACACCTATCCAGCTCTCTTGAAGCATAGAGCTGAACACCAGTCATTTCTTTAAGCCACACTTTACTTTTACTTCATCATTTGTGGCCATAAGTATACATATCAGTGTTGCTTGTTTTACACCTTTATAAACCTGAAAATACTGGAGCATTCATAATAATTTTAGGCAGAATTCTTTATTATATAGTGCAACAACTAGTCAAACAGTAAACTACAAAAATGGTTGCAGGCATTTATTTCTAAATGAATAAAAATCTTTTTCATTTGAAGGAATGCCCAAAGTATTTAGAAGTGCCTGGATGGAGATTTTATTAAAGTGTCAATCTGTGGGATGCCAGTAGAAGCTCTTACCCTGAAACACTGAAATCCATAAACATCAGACTTTCATCCAATAAGGAGCATTAGCCTAAAGTCCTTAGCAGCAGCTTGAAAGTTTGAAAGTCAGCTGATACACTACATGCTTGTTTATATGTGGCTATTGTGCCAGCCATGTTATTAGAGTTACTACCAGATTTGAAGGTAATTTTAAAAAAGAACAGAGACAATAAAGTAGTTAATATGTAATAATAATTACATGAATAAAGTAAGACACAGTGTTTTTAACACTTTGTAAAAGTAGTAAATGATTATCCCAATAGTCATAGTAATATATCAGAGACATTAGTGATTATGTATTTTTATGATTCGTTGCTAGTCCACAGTCACTGTATCTCAACTCAGTGCAGCAGCTCGGTGGGGGTAAACTTCTCTCATAACTAGCCATAAAGCCATATTTAGCAATTTACAAATACAGATCACATTACATATGTATGTATATATGTTACTAAGCTGCTAGCTTAGTAACCTACTAAATAAAGCTAAAGTTAATGTTGCTAGCTGGTAGTTCATGAACCTAGCAGCACTGTTACTATATAGGCTTCCCTAAGGTGGCATCACCTTAAATACTGATCGCAAAATGATATTCATAATACAGTACAGCCATGCTCTAATTAAAACAAAGATAAAGCCACATGACATCAGAATATTTTAAATTAAAATACACCAAATGTCTGAGTTTTCCACCTGTCCTCAAAGGCACCCTTTTGGCATGGGCAAACCAGGCAGCCACCCAGGGTTTAGTAGGCTAAACTAAGTCAGTGACACCTTGACTTTCTTCCAAATAATGCACATTTCATTCATAATATTATAAACACAGACCTATAATTTGCACGTTTTTGTTTTTTTCCAAATTGTGTGAAATGGCTAATAAAAATAGGTAATACAAGGTGAATTGGTTTAGTCTTGACTTCTGGTCATGAGTGACAGTGTTGGGGGATGGGAAATCTGTTGATTGTCAATTGCAAAAAAAAAACAAAAAAAAAACAAAAAAAAAAACAGAGCGATGGAGAGAAAAAGGTCAAAGCTATAGAGGGGGGTCTCACCCGGGGAGTAATTCAATGTAAAAACTGCCACTGGTGAGAGTAACATGATCTGTGCATGTCGGGCAATCTATGCATGTGCATCTAACAGTCTGTAAGTACATTTTAAAGAACTGCACACAGAAAGTCAGTTTTTGCACATTTGTAATCTTGACTGTTTATAAATTTCTGAATACGCAATTGTGGCTAGTTAGGTTTTGTCCCATACAAATCTGGAATCAGGTGTAAAATACTTTTCATAGTCAAACTGTAACTGTCATTTACATCACTTTAACTGCTGTTCTATAATTGCCAAGTATGTTCAAACGTACAGGAATCTGACTCCGGTAGAGAGGCTCTCAATGTGTTGCAAGGCAACAGGAATGTAAAATAACAATGAAAATAAAAAGTAGTTGTAACTTACAGTTGTATGAAATTAAAAATAAAGTTGTCCTCCGAAGAGTGGTGGTGGTGGATGGGTTAAAAAAAGTAAAAATAAAAAGTAGAGCAATAAAAATGAGAATAAGAATAAAAAGTATGTGTACTCAAATAGGAAATGTGTGCAATCAAAAATAGGAAAGGAAGGGAGTTTTTCCTCCCCACTGTCGCCAAGTGCTTGCTCAAGGGGGATTTGTTGGGTTTTCCCTATGTAATAATATTGATAACAGTAAGGTCTAGACCTTACTTTGTAAAGTGTCCTGAGATGACTTTTGTTGTGATTTGGCGCTATACAAATAAAATTTGATTTGATCTTAGTTTAGATTCTTCTGTCTGAAGTTTGTGCTTTATGTCCAATCACCAGCTGCTAAAAGACCCGGGCACCATAGAAGATATATACAGTGGTTATATTTAAAGTTTATTGCACTGTGGTGATTGTTGTGTTGAGTCATACAGTCATGGGTTAAGTGTTCATCAGAGTGATGGCCCGGTGGAAGAAACTCAGGAAGAAACTCCACCTCAGGTTCTCGGAGACAGTGGAACCTGGGAACTTGAAGGACTCTAATGCTGATACAGTACCGCTGAGTATGGTGGTGGGGGGGCTCTTTCTGAAGTCCACTGTCATCTCCACTGTTTTGAGCATGTTCAGCTCCAGGTTGTTGCAACT